AAGATCGTCTCGACTACAAAAGTTTACTACATAGATAATGCAATCATGGGAAAAGGAAGCAGTCCCATTTTATGGACTAGGACTGGAAGCAGTTTGAAGTGACTTCCTCCAGACTTTTGAAGTCTCACTGATGATGTCACTTTGCAAGTAAAAATACATTGGCTATGCTCCAGCTCTTGCACCTTCATTACTGGGGAAAAACTTCATCCAGGAGTGATGAATCAACTGTCTATCAAAAACTGTCTATCAAACACTGCCTATCAAACACTGACTGGTTGACAGACTCCCTTGGGAGGCAGTCCTGAAGGGCAAAGGAGTCCAGGAAGGCTGGACGTTCTTCAAGAAGGAAGGTGCAGGAGCAGACCGTCCCCATGTACCAAAAGATGAGCCAGCAGGGAAGACCAGCCTGGCTGAACAGAGAGCTTTGGCTGGAACTCAAGAAAAAAAAGGCAAGTTTATGACCTTTGGAAGAAGAGGCAAGCAACTCAGGAGGACTACAAAGATGTCGTGAGGTTATGCAGCAAGAAAATTAGAAGGGCCAAAGCCCAACTAAAACTTAATCTGGCTACTGCCGTAAAAGACAGTAAAAAAATGTTTCCATAAATACATTAGTAAGAACAGGAAGGCTAAGGAGAATCTCCACCCTCTGTTGGAAGTGGGGGGAAGGATAGCCACAAGGGATGAGGAAAGTCTTTAATAGTAAGACCAGTTGTTTTCCGGGTACCCATCCCCCTGAGGTGGAAGACAGGGAGAGGGAGCAGAATGAAGCTCCCATAATCCAAGGGGAAACGGTGAGCGACCTGCTACACCACTTAGACACACACAAGTCTATGGGGCCAGATGGGACCGACCCAGGAGTACTGAGGGAGCTGGCAGCAGTGCTCACAAAGCCCCTTTCCATCATTTATCAGCAGTCCTGGTTAACAGGCGATGTCGCAGATAACTGCGCCTGGCTGAACAGAGAGCTTTGGCTGGAACTCAAGAAAAAAAAGGCAAGTTTATGACCTTTGGAAGAAGAGGCAAGCAACTCAGGAGGACTACAAAGATGTCGTGAGGTTATGCAGCAAGAAAATTAGAAGGGCCAAAGCCCAACTAAAACTTAATCTGGCTACTGCCGTAAAAGACAGTAAAAAAATGTTTCCATAAATACATTAGTAAGAACAGGAAGGCTAAGGAGAATCTCCACCCTCTGTTGGAAGTGGGGGGAAGGATAGCCACAAGGGATGAGGAAAGTCTTTAATAGTAAGACCAGTTGTTTTCCGGGTACCCATCCCCCTGAGGTGGAAGACAGGGAGAGGGAGCAGAATGAAGCTCCCATAATCCAAGGGGAAACGGTGAGCGACCTGCTACACCACTTAGACACACACAAGTCTATGGGGCCAGATGGGACCGACCCAGGAGTACTGAGGGAGCTGGCAGCAGTGCTCACAAAGCCCCTTTCCATCATTTATCAGCAGTCCTGGTTAACAGGCGATGTCGCAGATAACTGCAGACTTGCCAATGTGATGCCCATCTACAAGAAGAGCTCGAAGGAGAATCCGGGGAACCACAGGCCTGTCAGCCTGACCTCCGTACCGGGGAAGATTATGGAGAGGTTCATCTTGAGGGCGCTTACAGGGCATGTGCAGGACAAGCAAGGGATCAGGCCCAGCCAGCAAAGGTTTATGAAAGGCAGGTCCTGCTTGACCAATCTGATCTCCTTCTACAAGGTGACCCACTTAGCGGATGGGGGAAAGGCTGTGGATGTTGTCGACCTGGACTTCAGTAAAGCCTTTGACACCATCTCCCCCAGCATTCGCCTGGAGAAACTGGTGGCTCATGGTTTAGACAGGTGCACTCTTTGCTGGGTAAAGAACTGGCTGAACAGTCGAGCCCAGAGAGTTGTGGTGAATGGCGTTAAATCCAGTTGGCAGCCGGTCACAAGTGGTGTTCCCCAGGGCTCAGTATCAGGGCCAGTTCTGTTTAATGTCTTTATCAATGAAGGGATGAGGAGATCAAGTGCTCCCTCAGGAAGTTTGCAGACACCACCAAGTCAGGTGGGAGTGCTGATCTGCTGGAGGGTAGGAGGGCTCTGCAGAGGGATCTGGACAGGCTGGATCAATGGGCCAAGGCCAACTGTATTACATTCAACAAGGCCAAGTGCCAAATCCTGCACCTGGGTCACAACAAACCCCATGCAACGCTACAGGCTTGGGGAGGAGTGGCTGGAGAGCTGCTCGGCAGAAAAAGCCCTGAATATAAGCTGAAAGTGGGCCCAGTGTGCCAAGAGGGTCCTGGTCTATATCAGAAATAGCGTGGCCAGCAGGAGTAGGGAAGTGATCGTGCCGCTGTACTCAGCCCTGGTGAGGCCGCACCTCGAATCCTGTGTTCAGTTTTGGGCCCCTCACTACAAGAAGGGCAGTGAGGTGCTCAAGCATGTCCAAAGAAGGGCAGTGAAGCTGGTGAGGGGTCTGGATGAGGAGCAGCTGAGGGAACTAGGGTTGTTTAGTCTGGGGAAGAGGAAGCTGGGGGGAGACCTTATTGCTCTCTACAACTACCTGAAAGGGGGTTGTACTGAGGTGGGTGTTGGTTTCTTCTCCCAAGTAACAACTGATAGGACAAGAGGAAACAGCCTCAAGTTGTGCCAGGGGAGGTTTAGATTGGATATTAGGAACATTTTCTTCACTGAAAGGGTTGTCAAGCATTCAAACAGGCTGCCCAGGGAATTAGGTATTTAGAAGACATGTAGATGTGGTGCTTAGGGACATGGTTTACAGAATCACAGAATCATTAGGGTTGGAAAAGACCTTTAAGATCATCAAGTCCAACCATCAACCCAACACCACCATGCCCACTAAACCATGTCCCCAAGTGCCACATCCACACGTTTTTTGAACACTTCCAGAGATGGGGACTCCACCACCTCCCTGGGCAGCCTGTTCCAATGCTTGACTCTGTCCATAAAGAAATTTTTCCTAATATCCAATCTAAACCTCCCCTGGTGCAACTTGAGGCCATTTCCTCTTGTCCTATCGCTAATTACTTGGCAGAAGAGACCAACACGCTCGTCACCACAACCCCCTTTCAGGTAGTTGCAGAGAGCAATAAGGTCTCCCCTCAGCCTCCTCTTCTCCAGACTGAACAACCCCAGTTCCCTCAGCCGCTCCTCATAAGACTTGTGCTCCAGACCAGCTTCGTTACCCTTCTTAGGACACGCTTGAGCACCTCAATGTCCTTCTTCTAGGTTTAGTGGTGGACTTGGCAGGGCTAGGTTAATGGCTGATGATCTTAAAAGTCTTTTCCAACCTCAATGCTTCTATGAATCTATGACTTGGGCTTCCACTGAAGTATGCCCTCCTTCCTCAGCTTCTCTGTCTCACCGAAAAAAAAAAAAAAAAAAATCTGTCTTCAAGTTTACATTGCACACACTAGAGCGTATCTTTTCCTAGAGGTAATTTTCTTTACCCATATATTACAAGGTCCGTGTCTAGAGATAATTATTGCCAATACACTCAATGACTGTTATAAACATCCCAAAATAGTATGGGGGTACTTAAATTGGAGGAGGGGAAAAAAAAAAAAAGTCATGCACAATTTATTCTTCTTTAGAGCAGAGGGCAGCTGGAAGATATCCAACTAGAAAATGCAAAGGCTTTGGAGATAGTAACATTGAGCTCTGTCTTTCTTCCAGCTCTGGAAAGGACTTCTGATTATGCTTCTAAAACTGAACCAACATAGGCTTTTGGCCACTAAGGTCTTTCTCAAATGAAGCAGACGAGCCTGTTGAGGTAAGGCAGCAGACAGAAGATGCCCTCCATTCCAATCCTGTATTCAGGAGAAACACACAGGCATCCCATCAACTAGGGAAATGTGCAAGCAACATCTGGCAGAGTGAGGGCAAGAGGTACATGGTCACAGTATCTAGCAGACAGGAGCTTACATATTGATGGGAGAATAAGGAGACGGCAAGTCTTCTGAGGTCTAGTTTAATTTCTTTTATCAAATCTTCCCTTCCTCGTTTCCATATTGCTGAGAAACAAGGTTTTATGACGAAATAGCAGCTTTAGTATACTTTAAGATAATACTGATGGCATGTATCAAAGGCAATGCACTAGGTACTTCAGGGTTTTCCTCACAGATTTTTCAAATTTCAGTTGTTTGAAAAAGCAGTTAAATGAACAATCTCATATCAAAAGGAACTTCACTCACACTTCTACCAATCTGAAGAAAGGAATAATGTACATATGCTACGACAGAACTGTACTACCAAAAAGCTACATTTCTAGCTTAAGGCAACTTCATACTTACAGTTCCACTCTACAGAAATAAAATAGCAGAGACAAAGGGTACAAAGGACATGGTAACAATGGGTAAGCTGACTGTGGAACTGTTGTTCATTGAATCCTAAATATGAGAACTGAAGAGTAGTCAACAAAATTAGAAAGAAGCCAGTTTAGTACACCAAAAATAACTTTTGTTAGAAGGGCCCGTGGTGAACTTTTAGAGCTTGCTGACACATGAAGTTGTGGAAACAAGGTGTCAAAAGGCTTCAAAAAGATGAACAGAAATTCACAAACAGGTCCCTAAATGAAAAAAAAAGGGATAGCTGGGAATCTACCTCCCATCCCTAACCCAATGACTGCAGATGCTGAGAAAATGCAAGTGAAGTGAGCCATAGGCAGCAGCCAGGCTGATGTCATCTCTCAAAGCAACATCTTTTCACTGCTGTCAGAGACAGAATACTGGGTTAGGTGAATCGTTCTGGAGTGCTGAAGGCAGTATTGCTCATGTTTAAGTTACACCATTACCACATTGTTGGAGTTCAAAACAATGCTTATGCCTGCCACTGAACTGCATAAAAAAATTAGGGGCTGATTGTCAGATCATCAGTCTGGTCCCAGCTTTACCAGATGGAGACATGACATAAACAGGTCAGCTTCTGTACTGCAATCCCTCCCCCTGGTTCCCAAAAGCCCTCCCAAAATTAGCATTGCCTAAGAATAAGCAGCTTGATCCCTCACCTACAACCAAGAATCCTCTAACCAGAGACAGAAATCAGGTAGAATCAACTGTTAACACATAAATTTTATTTCTGTATTTACAATGCTTAAAATAAAATATATCAGTATCTAGCTATTCCTAATAAATGCAAAAATAGAAAACTTCCCTTTTCAACAAAAGTGCAGAAACATAAATTAGAACATGGTAACTTTAAAACATACAATGCTATTTCTCAGTGTTTTTACTATGAAAAGAGACTTGTAAAACAAGCACCATAATTGATCTTACAGAAGACTTTCCATCAAAGCAGCATCACAGGGCAAAACAAGTAGGACGTTAGTACAGAAATGTAGTAGCAAATCTTTGAATGTTTTAAATGGCATAAACTGTTATAAATGATTATCAAGAGTTATAAAAGTGTTCTGACTATTTTTTTGCAATAGCTTTACCACATAGCCGAATATTAACTGAGCCGTATTTGGTCGTCAGCACAATGAAGAGACCTTCAAATTTTCCTTCTGCCTTTGGCTTGAACTGGACTGGAACATTGATGTAATGATGGGATCTGTAAAAAGGCAATTATGTGCATATTCATTGTTAATAAACAAGTAAATCCTACCAGATAGAGAAATTTTTGTATAGTTTTGATTTTCACAAAAATAGTATATTGGATGTGCACTGGATCATCAAGTTTATTTTTATAGATTTTATTATCTGTTAATCTTCTGAGGGACTTTCACTGTAAAGGTCATTCTTTGCTACTGATTATACAAAGTACTACCATACTTTATTGCAGCTGGTTTACCTAGATAACCTTGGTCTGCCTCTCTGCAATAATATTGACAGTGTATAAACTATATTTAGAGCAAAGTTTTCCTTCCCTTTAGAAGTCATGTGACAAGTACACTAAAATTTCCAATTCTTTTTGAAATTCCATCAATTTGAAGCTAGTAAAATAATTTCCATTACTTTTAATTGCATCCACATTAAGAAATATTTTGCTAAATCATTGCAAGTCAATATAGTCTTCCTCAAACAGTGTTTTAAAGATTTTACATTACACCTTTTTAGGTTATATAATTCCTCTTCTATTCAGATTGTATAAAAATGTACCAAGTGTAATGGGTGGCTGTCTTAATTGTCAAAAGCCTCCAGTGAATGTTTTAAAAATATAAGCTACACAAGCAACAAGCTGGAAATGCTGCGTGGCAGCCTGTTGGATTCCACGGCATCCAGCAGAAATACCCATCACTAACAGACAGGTAACAGTAACAGGCACATACTGGCGTAAGGAAAAATGAACAGTATCACTGAGTAAGACAAAGAAAGAAAAGATGGCTTTGTTTTCTTTTACTGTAGCTTCAGTTTTCTCCCCTTAACAGTATTTAGTATTATCCATCGGCCTCTGGAATATGCTTATTTCCCCTACTTTTTCATATTTTGTTCCTACCTTTTCATATTCCTTTCCTCTACACTAATTCAACCTATCATAATTGGTCTGTGCTCCTACCCTTCTCCTCCATTTGTAAATCATAATATTGGTCCCACATATAAGCCTGACTCCAACCTCACTTGTTTAGTATTGTCCTTAGTGCTAAAATTGTCACACTAGCAATTGTATTTTGATTTTTTTCTTTTATTTTTTGTTAAATAGTTCCTGGTCAATCAAGTACCTTAAAACTACACACTTTCAGAATAAAGACTGGTATGCTACTGTATTTTTTTAATTGGATTAATATAAAAGCAAAGCACTAATTACGTTTTACTGAACTACAATCAACAATACAGCAAAGGAGTACAGCCAGATTAGGATTTCATGTCTCATACTTGACTGCTGAGTGTTGTATAACAAACCTGGCATGCTCTGTCTCTTCATCCATCAATAATATATGGGATGAAGATATTTACTCAGCTTTATTTTTAAAAATCCATTTTATAAATGAAGAACATCAGCATGACTATTTATGTGTAACAGATGCATCATTTTAGGATGAATACAAATTTTAGTAAGAATACAGTCTGAAGCTGCATACAACCAGGCTCCTGAGAATTTACAAAAATAAAGGTAAATTCAGTAGAAAGTCAGGAGGGATGCACAAGTCTCTATCATCATCTCCAAAATAGTGTATGTATGCTTCCTTACATATCCTAACACTTACTCGAAAAGAACAACATAACCAAACTCAAAACTTAACAGTAAGTTATATATTTCTCTTTAAAAGAGATGGCCACATCTGGCTGTCAAATACTAATTTTCAGAATACGTACTATATGACCTCAGTGATACAGAGGCAGAGCACAATTTCTTAGCATACGACAGCTATATTCAATTCCATTTGACGTCTAAATTCAAGTGTCCAGTTGGTGGGTGCTATACACTTTATCGTTCTTTTCTAAAAGCAGAATTAGTCAGACATTACGTAGATTTTGTTCTGTAGCAGTCAGTTGATTTCTCACAATTGGGATAAGGCTCAACACACTTGAATTCTCATGCTTCCTAATCCAAAGGGAAAGATGCTATTTTCATTTTCTTCAACTAACAAAATGGGAAAGTTCAGACTCCAGCTACAACAGTTCTTTGGGCTACTACAAAGCATAAGTGTTCTTAGAAATGAATCAACTTGGAGGATTTTTCTCAAGTACAATAGCCAGAAACTAGTCACGAATTATAGTGTCAGGACAACCAGAATTCCCCTGCAATTAACTGTTGTTCTCTTAATGAAAAGTTTTACTTCAAATTTTTCACTATGCTTGCAACTCAGTTAGTCTATGAATACTATATTGCCTTTACAGCTTATTGCATCAATTTCAAGTGGTATTTCTGAGAAGTCAGGTATGTCTGAAGTCTGCGTCACAGACAAACTAATACTGTAGTCCCCTAAACACACTAGCAGCAATAGGTAAGTTTAAAAGGAACAGTATGGATAAGCTGCATCTAAGCCATAGAAACGATATCTATTGTCAATGAATTGTGACTCCTGACACCCAGAATGGTGGCTAGTGGAAACAAAAGTAATTAGCCAAGCAAAAAACAATTTTACCTTTTAGTAATATCTGAAGTATCTACTACCCTGAAATCAGCTTTTCAGATGGTTTCTGAAGGCAATACAGTAGAAACATCCTAGTTTTCAAACTTTTTTTAGTAGTTTAACCTGGTAGTCCTTCTAGAAACAGAACTTCACCAAAGGTTTTTTAAAAAGTCATGTGGGTTTTTCTTAGTGTTTCATCCATATGTTTATATCACTTAAGAGTCATCTTGTTAAAGGTACTCTCTTTGCAGTAAAAAAAAAAAAAAAAATCTACTCTGTCAACAAATAGAACTCTTCTTTTGAATGTGAACTCCAGACAGAATTCCTTCCCACCCATTCTTTGCAGGACTTATAATATTAGCTAAATGACATCTCTCTAGTTAAAAAACAAAATATACACTTTAAGATATTTGGTGAAGATTGTTAATTTGTTTGTTTTTTTGTTTACAGTTTTCGCTGCAAGATACTTGTTTTTGGATAAAGCCTGTTACTATTTTCAACTAAGCAAAATACAGTAGAGGAACCAGCAGTGCTACGTATTGGTACTTGTGATGACATAACCAATTGAACAAGAACGGGCAAGCCACTGTACCAACTTCTGAGGATCAGACTCTTGATATGAAATAGAAATACAAACTTGCAATTCCATTATCCAGATTTAAAACTTGATTACACAGGTTTGCTTTCAAATTTGGCCCTCAAGATGAAGAGCATGCAACAGACCATGTTTACTACATGACACATCTTTGGTCCAAAAAATATAAGTAGGTGGTACTTTCTATTTTTACACTCCTATTTACAGACTAATATTCCAAGTTCCTGCAAACAGTTTTCTTATCCAATTACTTTCGAACATTACTTTGTAAGATGCCCAGTTAACTTAGTTCAGAAAGAAACAGCTAACATTGGCTTTCTTGAAATCCTCCTTGATGCTGTTCTCAAACAAAAGCCATTTAAAGGAGTTCTTTTAACACTTGTTTAAAAAGCATCTATCCAAGTCAAGTAATTCTTCTGTGCTTTATGCTCTCAAATGAGACAGTTTCTTCAGAGAGCTATGTTGACTTCAGATAAATGGATTTTAAAAAAGCTAAGAAAGGCCAATATTTACCACAGAAGAAAAAACAGCCAAAATTACTAGAAAAAAAGGTTGTAGAATGTTATTAGAACATGCATTATATTCGGTTGGTAGGTTTTAGAAATGGTAGTCTGAATTTTAAACTTGTTAAGTCTACTTGGGGTAAATACAATGGAAGTTTATCATCTTTCATAGGTGTACAGCCTCAGACAGATCTAGTTAGTCATCTTTATTTGGACAGATTTTATCTTGGTCACTGCCTCCAATAAAAAACTCTTCTGTGCCGCCTGATGTGACATATTTAATAAAAAGATGCCAATTAAATAGAAATGTTGGAACACATGCCTAAGTGGAATTATAATGCTTTGCACTGAAAAGTGGCTTTAAGAATACCTTGAATACCTGTGGCTAACACCACCACAGCCTTCTCTTTATTATAAATGCTAAGTATCATTGGCAGACACAAAACTAGATTACCTAGTTAACTAATAGGAACTAGTACCTAGTTCCTATTCTAGTATCTAGTTTATTTTAAAGTAAAATTTATTATTTTGCTCACGATTTCTGTTCTGTATAACCTTAGTTTCCCTGTGTTTAAAACGGGGACCCATTTGAACACCAAGAACATATGCTGTATGACTTCTAATGAAATGGTTGCATTTCTGTCTTCTGACAATCCCACTGTTACAGATGAGCATGTGAGATGCAATACTTCTTGAAGAGATGACTAACAGGACTGTCAAATACTTGTTGTAATGAACTCCAAAGATGACTGCGTTTATTTTGAGGGATTGTTATCACCAACTTGAAAACTCCTTTTATGCAGGTAATATGCTGAAATACTTGTTATGACCCGGCAATTCCACTGGCTGCTCAAACCTTGTATTTGCAGAGAATCTTTGATGCAGCTCTGCAGGTTTGTCAAATTAGAAGCATGATGAAGGCAATTTGCTTGGTCTGTTGTGCAGAAACTATAAATGGAAGGAATGACTTGATTGTGCACAGCATGCCAAATGGTTAAATGAAGCATTAGGCTTAGCATTAAAAGCAGCAGCACTGTTAGAAACAATTTGCAGGGAAGAAATTGGCAGATGCAGAAATAACTGTGTGGGCTCATTCTGCTTCTAACCAAGATTACAGAGTACAGCTTAAGAAAAAAAAATAACCAAACAAAAACCTTTAACTAGACAGCCAGAATGTTGGATATTTATATCTACATTTTAGCACTGTACATACAGAGAAGATACTTATCTTACAGAATTACTTGTTTAATTTTTTTGTTAGGAGAGAACGTTAGCATATGCATTACTCACCTTAGAGAGTATTTCGAGTGCTTGATGTAGAAAGGCTCTCTGGGACTTACAAATTTCAGCTGCAATTTAATACAAAATGCTTAAAAGTGCACCATATCTAAGCCTATCATATTCAATTTATAACATCCTTAAGATAAATCAGGTCACTTACACACACATACAGCTTTACACAGACCCAAGGTTTAAAAACAAAGCATGCCTAGATTTGTGCGTACTAAGAAAAATACACATATCGCTATTTTAATGAAGTTAAAAAAGAAAAATAAATCAGGATAATAACAAACCTATGCAAACTCTGACCTATTATTTTTTCCATTGCAAATACATTACAAATACACTCAGTGGTTCAGTCAGACAAAAGAAAAGAGAAAAATAACAGGAAAGCAAAATTCTTCAAATATAATATTGGCTTTTGAAACTAACAAAGACTTGTACTATTGCAATCTTCTGTCAAGAGTAAAAAAAACCAACAGTGCAGTTGAACTGTTGGAAGGACTTATGAAAATGTATTTAAAATAAAGTCTGTCAAACTTACCAAGTGTGTCGTAAAGGAATTATTCCGCAAGTTGACCTTTAATGTGCATGATTCCCCAACTCTAGTTGGGGGAAAAGTGTACAGGTCTTCTGGTGCATATACCCCTCGAATTATCTCATTTTGCCTGATTTGAAAAAGAGATTTACGATATTAAGATTTCCTACTTATATGGTCTGGATTGCATACTTCAAGGTAACAGGTGCATTTTCTGAGACTAAATCAGGAAAAACAGAAAGATTCTGAAGGCATCAACTCTCTCACCTTAAATTTTATAGGCAATACATTTTAGCCAGAAAGAATAATGAAAGCATCACTGTGGCATAAATATATGTACACATTGTGTACAAGTGTGTACATTATATTATACACACTTTCATAATCTGATTCCCCCCGCCCCCCCCATATGCTTTACTATAGAATAAGACTCTTCTCAGAGATGCCATGTTTAAGCAAAACATTTTACTCCCCTGCCATGTTCACATTGTACCATAGTAGAAGAACTGGAAATCATCTTAAGACTGAATAACAGCAAGGTTAAGACGTACAGTAGAGCGGTTTTCTCAGAAGTGACTTTACAGTTCTACAGAGTCTCTGAAAGGGGAGTATACAAGAAGTATACACAAGATCCTACTGCTAATACCAGTTCATTTACAAATCATGGTTAGGCAACTTAGAAACCCAACTGAAAAGAAAAAGCATAGGAGATTGAACAATACAAAGCCATTAAGAGGTCTGGCAAGTCTGTTTTTTGCAGCTATTTACTCTTTAACATAGAATCATCAGATAATTCAGGTCAGAAGACATCCAAGAGGTCTCTAGTTCAACCTCTACCTCTAATCAGGGTCAGCTGTAAGGTGAGACCCAGCTGCTCAGGGCTTTGTCCAGTCAGATCCAAAAAACCTTCAAGGACAGACTGCACAGCCTCTCTGTGCAGCCTGTTCCACCTCATAGCTGTCCTAATGGTAAAAGGGTTTTGGCTGTGGGGATGTTTTTTGTTTGGGAAGTGTGTGTGTCCCCCTGCCCTTACCCAGTTGCAGACTCCCGTTTCAAGTTTTTGTCCATACATACCCTGCTTTAATTGTACATGCTTCAGAGTAAACTTTCATTTCTGGTATAATTGGAAGCTCAGTTTTTGTGAGGGCGCTTGCAGAAGTTTTCACAATTGAAGTTTCATTTTCTGTTTTAGTACCCTATTGGCAAAAATAGAGAAGCCTTTAAACTTTGCATTCAAAAGTGTTTAAGTATTCAAGTATGTAAGTCATCTCCCTTACCTAATCCAAGACTTTTTATTTAAAGTATAATCTTTCAGGAATGGCAGAGTCTGGATCATTGAGACAGAAGCAATGATTTAGGAAGAATATTTTAACAGGCTTCTGTGTCTTTAAGGGTAAGAACACCTTTGCAGGTATTCTGCCCATATGCCTCAAGCACAGGAAAGTTGGCTAAACAACTGCTTAGAGAAGGGGAAGGTGTAAGTCATCATTATAGTTTGAATTCTCACAACAGCAAAAAGCTTTGTCATAATTTTGTATTATGAACAATACATCCTTCTCAAAGAAAGGTCTCTACAGAGAAACAGAATCTAATGCATTATATGGCAATTGTTACATTCAGAAATTAGGCCAAAATATTTACCATTGTCAGGACCTTCCTTCAGTGTACTCTAACATAAGGAGACCAGATCACCCTAACGGAATACTTCACCAAGTAGCCAATTTCAAATTCTGCGTTGTTTAACAAATCTAGCCAGATACTGTTCTGAGCTCCTTGGGTCACACCACCTTGAACAAAGTCAAAGAACCTCCTATATTTATGGTTGTACAACATTATCTCAATTTTTTAAACGGTACTGACGTTTTACACAAGCAGTTGATTCCCTTATGCAGAGAAGATTAAAAAAAAAAGATTAATCTTCAATAGAACTGCTACGACAAACTTGTGTTTTAGACATTCACTTCTATTGAAAGAGCTGCTAATCATTCTGTCAGAAATAGCAGCAGCCAAAAAAAAAAAAGTTTTGATTTTAAAGAATATTTTTCAGTTGCAAATAACCCATGAACCACAGCAAAACCCAATACATAAAGACAAGAAAGGATCTGTACATATATCTTGCTTCAAGAGCTTTTCATTTTCCATGTAGTGAATAATTATTGGGTGTCATGCCTCAGTGTTATCATTCAAATTCTAATTTATCAATAAGGCAAGTTTACTGCATGAGGATAAGTCACATTATGGAGAACAATCAGAAGTTCCCCCAGTTTTTATCAGGGCATCTTGAAGTACTGCATGCTTTACCATAGCGCATACTGACTTTTCCTGTTTTAAATGAAAGCAGTACGTTAACACTGTCCAAATGGGTACAACTGAGTGCTGTTCCAAAGCAACCTCAGGAGCATAGAAATTTGTTTAGCTCTAAAATCGGAATTATTTTGCTCAGACAGCTTAAAAAGATTTTTTCCTTCTGCTACTGCTGGGATATCTGAAGAAGATGAAGCTTTGTACTGCTCATAATAATCAAATCAGGACTCTGAGTTAGCAGTATGTTTTGTGTTAAGTATTCAGAAATTCATCTCAGTTTGTTACAAAATGAAACATTGAAAAGTTACATAGTTATGCAGCTAAAGTACATAAACCATGTACTTTAAAAAAAGGTATGCACTTAATATTTGTAATATCTTCAAACAACAGTTGGGATTCTTTATGCAGTCCTCAACTTCCCTTGTGCTAAAGGATCAATCGGAACTTAGGTGCTGCCTCAGCCTTGCTAGCAGGCTCTGGCTAGTTCCCCATTTCACCCAGAAGGGACCAACAATTAGACCAAAACACCAACCCAAGACTTTTGTGCACAATGACAATAAACATTCTTAGCTCAACGATCTCAGAACAATACCTCATAGCAGCCTAAATATTGTTTCTTAGGAAAAGAAAAAAATAAGTGTGAATGGCCAGTATTGAGAGGTTGGGGCTGCAAAGCACATGTAAAATCCCTCCTTTCTTTGTCTCTGGGATCAGTTTTGGAGACATGATCTTCTTGGGCTCCTGACTATGGTTTCCAGTGGTGGGGACTGCAAACGCATGCAGAGCGTAAGTGCGGTCACAGTTGATTGGTTTTTCAGGAAAAAATGAAAACGGCAAGTGACACTGATTTTCCTAACTTCACCTTGTTCTTTTAGTTCTTTCTTGAGCTCTTCCAAATTCTTAATTTCTTTTGAAGTGCTGCTATAAATAAATACTACTCAGTCACTCTGAATGACAGTCAGTCAGTCTTCCCACTTCGTTCTGTCAAAAGTCACATTAAGCAGAGCTGTAGCCCTCTGCCTCAGCAAACCCAGCAGGATCCCGGTCCTTTTCAAAGTTCACAGAATCACAGTATAAACTCTTGACCCCTGGGACATAACAGATCATAATTGACTTGTCTTCTTGACTGACAGTGGATCTGATTAAAAGCTGCAACAATCTAAGTAAAGGTTGGGTGTTGACCCCTCTTCCAAACAGAAGTATAGGTATAGATATATACCCAGTTGATAAACATTCCCTTTCAACTCTTTTTCAAAACAATTGTGACACATTTCAAGTATTTTCTACGATTTTTTTTCCCATATGCACAAAGAGATGCTGGAAAGAGCTAATTGTTAACACCTTTGGGGGGAAAAAAAAAAATAAATCGAGTGGAACAAATCTACCATGGTAGTTCAAAAACATTAATACCAAGTTGTGCCACTCAATGAGTTATACAACTCTGACAACTAGTCACATTTTAAGAAGAGAATTTTTTAAAACTCTAGATTTCTGAAAGAATTTGTCTTCTTTCAATTTCAACTAGCTTTAAACAGACAAATGACACAGACATTTTCCTCATTTTAAGGAAAATTATGCTTAAAGAATTAGCTGAAAGCTGAATAAAAAACCCTCCCAAACCAAACATTATACAGGTCTCATTCTTCATGCCAAAATTAGAAGTCATTTAACATATACTTTTTTAACAAGTCCCCTTTTCAACACAATCAACTACTGGGAAGAATAAAGACCCTACAAAGTAAAAGGTAAGGTACTCCAGCAAGAAGGGTAAAGAAGGTTCCTACTACTGAAACAGGCTTGGTACTCTAAAGATCCCAAATCTTTATCTGGGCTTCTTAGAAAAATCAAGTCAAACTCTCTGGAGAAGACAGCAAAGCATATATAGCAATCACGCAATACTGAACGTACAAAGGCCTTCATATTCATCTAATTTAACTAATCATTCGAATTAATTCTTCCCAATAGTAACAGATTCTCTGTCCTGTGTAGACTCCTCTTGTATGGATGGTGAGGTAGGGATTAAAAGCAAGGTAAGGAGCAAGAGCACAGAAAATCAGTTCTAACTCCCAAACACCTCCTTCCACCATAAAGTTAGAGCTGTAGAACAGGGGAGCAAAGGAGACCTCAATCTAATCACTCCCATGTACCAATCTCAAAAATCACCCCCAGCTACATTGTAACTCTGACAAAATATTCTAACAGGTTCTATCAGAGACACATTCATATCTCCAATATGGATCTTTGAAAAATCCAATACTGCATTAAATTACATATTATAGCAAAGCTCAGTTACTTTGTTATTTATTTACAAAAATAAAACCAATCCCCTTAGTGTCTGAGACAAACAAATCTGCACCTACAGAAACAATTCCCACAGAGGGAAATTTTGTCTCTACTTTCTCTGAGAAAAATAAAATTTTACATCTTAAATGGCAAAAGATAACGCATTATCACATAAGCAAGATGAAAAAAGTATTTTTTTAACATTAGAAAACCAGTATAGTTTAATCCAACAAAAATATCAGCAGGTGTTATTTTCACAATACTATTTCTCATGCATATGAGAAATAGTACTGTAGGGTAAAATTAAGATGTTAGGAAAAATTTGTGCTCAGGACAGCGTTTATAGCATTTATATACTCACTGCTCCAGAAAGTTGAAATCTTAATTTGTGTTTCCAACTAGGTTTTTCAACTGGGTGACACTCAAGGTCCCAGAACTGGGAGTAATCCCCTTTATCTCTAGGTAAGAAGATTACAGCAACCTAGCAAAACAAGAGAAAAATTTTGCAGAAGTTTATTAAAATAATCTATACATCTTCATAATTTTACCTACACAAAGTTATAGTTAAGCCAGCACAAAATTTACACACTACAGAACATACATTCCACACACAGGTGATCTTACAGAAATTCCGATGAAATAGGTTGTGCAAGCAATCTCGAACAAAATTTGAGTTCAGCTAATGTCAGCAAGTGCTTGCACAATTATTTCTATTAGTAAAATGGGGAAGAAGGTGACCAGGAAGGAAAATACAAGCAGCTGAAAAACAGCAGTACCTTCCTTCATCTGTCAGCTAAGCTGTGAACAACTGTACTCCTCCAGCTCTAAGTCTGTAAGCACACTGTGCTACAATACTAGAAGGCCTGAAATTTAAACCAACTTGGAGGCTAGGCATTTGATCAGCCTTAAAGGTCACCTATGTAACAAAGGCTTGTCTCCATATAGTGCTGTACCAGGTTAATTCAAGGGTAAACTTGCATTCTTTGCAGAGTTGAGGTTGGGGGAAGAAAGAGAAGGGGAGCAACAGATTGGAATAGATCACTACAACTATATCTAATTAGCCAAATATTATCATACCCACTGCAAAAAACAGCAAATCATGATAGCACTGTACCTTATCAGCTCCAGCCAACAGCCTGACATGCCAATAATGTAAATGTTATTCATAACATCCTGAACTCTACGATGGTTAAGGCAAAGACAATTGTTTCAATTCAAATAATTGTTTTCAGTATGATGAAATAACTATGAAACTGCACAGGAGTAAGTTTTTTTATGTCTTGTAAATAAGATTACAAACTGCATCATCATATAAGTAATGTTAGTTAAGCAATGTCATAATAATCCATGAACAGATAGAATTGAAGTAGCATTAAGGGAGAAGGTGAGGCACAAAAGCCCTGTAGAAACCCATTCAGTGTGTCCTTGGATGTGCTTTATAATTGTGGTTATGAAACCCTCTACTGGCCAGGAGATAATACTGTAAGTCAAATGAAATCAATTTTAGGAACAGGCAACTCTTCTTGAACAAGTATGACAAGACTGCTTCTAAGGAAGGGAAATCTGTTCTCACACCACTTTCCTAAGAACCCAGTATTATTTGCAATTTTCTTGTGGATATTTACAAAACATTTAAAAACAATTTTCTGTTGTAGAATAATTTATCTTAAAAAAAAAAAAACAAAACACAAAAAACACCACCACGTCAAAATACAGATTGCATGAATTCTTAGAATCAACTCAGCTGACATTGTAACAGCTGTGTTTAGCAGATGCTGACTATATAATACACCCCAGAACCCAGTTTTGGAAGGCCAACATTTTATTGTTATCATATGAAGTATGACCAGTTTAAAAAACTCAACTGTTATTTCAGAGAATCTCTCATGTAAAATCCTATTTTAATGGATTATTATCCACTAATACGCTTGAAATATTTATAAATGTCACTTTACCTTCTCTTCTCCGTGAGCTTCAAGAGTACCAGAGACATGAGAACATCGGAATGCAGAGTAAGTAACCCTATAAACACAACCAGTTCCATCCACATCCTGCAAATAAAGTTATGAGCCAGATTCAGAAGGTAAAGAAAAAAAAATCAACCAATCAACCAAACCACACAATACACCCTTAACACCATACACCCTTACACATGCCATCCTCACAAAGGACTGAAGAAAATACACCCAATCAAGTTGCTTTCAATAATACTGACTCCCTACAAGCAAAGGAATAAAGACTAAAACTACTACAATATTTATACAGTCACTATGACTACTGACTTCCAGTTTAGAGGTGGTGCACTGGCTAGAACACAGCCTATTCAGTCTTCAGGTCTACAGCTAACAGTGCTACATAACCATTTTTCATCATTTCATGACAACAGACCACAATAATTCCGGCATAAAATCAAAGTGACCATCACAGCATTTCAGACTATCAAAAAAATAGGGAAGCATTTACAAATATCAATGGTACAGCTACAGTAATCGCACAGGCAACAGCACTGTAATTCAAATACTCTTGACCTAACTCAAATTACCTACAGAGATGACATGTACAGTGTAATTCCAGCAGCACAAGCTTCAAAACAAGGCAAGTCTACATTCTGGAGCCAAAAGGGACACCCATCTTTCATGTATGCTTGACTACTTAATGCAATCTGGATGATGATACTGGATGAGCACAAGCAAACTCTATACGCCAGTAAGTGAACCAGAAATTGTCCTGCAGAGCACTGATTGATTCACAGTTAGGGAGCGCATCAGAGAGGAAAAAAGGAGTAAAAGATTTCCCTGATATGGACAGAGGCAAAAAAGAAACTTTGTACCTGAGTTCATGCTCAAATATATATTCTTTCTTGAAAAGATGGAGGGAGAAAGAGAGAGCAGTAGAAGGAGAGATGGAAAAAACCCAAGAGATTTGCATAAAACTACCAATGCAAGCATTCACTCACTTTAACATAGGGTGGTGCAAAAGATGACAAATGCCACTTCACGTTTTCATCCCCTTTATTCTCCATTTCCAGGTAACTCTCTAGAAGAGAAATATCAGACTAGTTATTAAATGTCTTTGTTCGAGTGTTCAAGTATCTTTAGTGGAAAGAGTTTAAATAGAAACTATGTTTCAAGACACGCTGAAGTTTAATGGAAACGACTCTCACCATGCCAACTCCAAGGGCAGACTCGAAAGCTTAGACAAAAGGAATTTGGAAGTAAAGTCTCCTAGTGAAGAATCATACTGAAGATGCTTACAAGCAACAAAGTGAGACCTAAATCTCACTCTCAATAACCCTAAAACAATAACAGATAATCCTCCAAAAGAACCTGAAGCATATCATGCAGTATTAAGTGAATGTATTGTGGTAGAAGGGAGTTAGCGTCTTATAAATGCAGAACATGACAAATAGCAGAGATCTAAGTCACCTCCAACAGTCTCAGCTTATTGCATTCAGATTTTTGGCATACACCTTTACATACTGGTGTACAAAAAAATATCAAGAAACCCTGACAAGATACCCAACTCCCTCCCAAGATATTATTTGACTATTCAGAGGGAAAACACTGACAGCATTCTAGTTTTTGGGGACAATCAAATAAAGTTCCATCACATAAAATCTGTTCTCAACCTAGTATGGATTTGTTACTCAGCGTACACACACATATATAAATATGAAACCTCAACATAAAGCTTATGCTTGCAGAAAGGAGAACAACTCACTGACATTATTGGAAAATCCCAACTTCGACGGTATCAATAAAGCATATTTCACACTGTGAAATGTGCCTCTTGCCAAGAATCAACAGGATATTCGTAAGATCATCTCAGTCTAGAGTAACATTTCAGGGAAGTTTAGCTGCATATATTACTATATGGGACATTTCTAAAAATAGGAAAGGAGTATAATATTATACCCCTCTTTCATTGGTGTAGCAAAAAACCACAGATATAATTGATAACAGACTTCAGAATTTTCAAGGCTTAATTTAAATAAAAATGTAGTATCAGTCAGTCATTTTAAAAAAAAGTCTTCATAACCAAGAAAACTAAGCACAACCAAAAAAATCTGGTATCTAGAGAACAGAATAATAGTTTCATACAGTAATTTGGAGAATTTTAAGCATTATTGGAATTAAAAGTGCAGGCAGAGGATTTGAGACTCCATTATCAACAAGTGTTCGCCTTGATCATTAAGTACAAGACAAGGGTAGCCAGACCCGTAGCTGACATTCCTATCGTCTTAAGGAATAACGCTTATTTCTCTACTACATGCAGATAGATTTATCTCACATGGGACACATACACAGATGAGGAGAATGGGTCTACTGCAGAAGTGCATTGACTCAAAAGAGCTTCAACAAAACGCAGTAACCTCATAGTCCCCTCTTTGCCCAGGCACAGCATGGTTGCATTCATCATAGTTGCTTAAAAAATTGGCAAACTAACTGCCTGAATGCTAACCTATCTGTGTGAAAAAGTATGGCTATACTGCACAAGGAGAAGGAAAAAAAAAAAAAGAAAAACACAGAAAAAAAAGAATAAAAAAAAAGGGACTTCTGAAACGAGTTCCAAGGAGTCTAAGGAGTAACATTTCAAACTGAAGTCAGAAGAGAGGAACTGGTCAATCACACTCACCAGACTAAAAGAACAAAAACAAAGTCAAGGCATTCAAGTTTCCAAACATTCAACATACTAAACAAAGACCTCCGAACACAAGGTGCTACAGATGTTGCATTTACTAAGTAAGCAATATTACCTGAGCTTTGGCCAGGTCTGGTTTTAGGAAAAACAATGGTTCTGTTCTTTATTTCCATTTTTGTTAGAGGAAGCACTGAGAGAGGTTTTGCCACATGAACGGTAGGACCTTCAGACTGTGGAGTAAATATCTCACGTCTTCTAGATGGAAAGTCTGCTCCAGACACACTCTTTGTGACTGCCTCTCGAATCTGCACTTTAATAAACTTTTGCACAATTTGGAGAAAAAGAAAGATTTAAATAGTGAACATCAATAAGTCAAACTACTTAGTTCTATTTCCTTGAACTGTAAGAGCTCACGTTGTTCAGCTTTACATTCCAACAGATAAAGTCTCATATGTTAAATCACCAGGTCTCCTCAGTTCACAAAGTTTAAAGATTTTAGGACAAGTTTAATTTAAGAGAACAGGAAAATTTACTGAAAATTTGCCACCTAGACATTTTAATTCAGTAGGAATAATCATTTAAACTAGTTAAATTTAATTGACAACTCCTACAATATCTTCTGCTCACACAGAACAGGAACAGGGCTGCCTCACACAGAACGAGATTTGTGTTCACTTCTGTGACATAATTAGCACTTCTAAAAACTCCAGTTAATGCTAGTAAAATCTTAGCATGCTTTTTACTTAACTGGAAAAGAACTGGTAGCAAAGAAATGGCAAAAGCGTTATCAACTACCAGATCTCTTATAATTTGATTCATTTTGCTACACTCTCTACTTTTGTCCTAGTAGGTTTCTTCTCTTAAATCATTTTCTCAAATTGTAGACCATAACATAGTTAAATATGTGCACAGCCTCAATTTCCTTCTCAACTCACTCTTTTCAACAACTTCCCTGTTTGTTTAGTGGGGTTTTTTTAAGGCAGTTTCCAATGCTGTATCATACCTCACCTTCCTCCATCAAGAAGGAAAGCAGGTAGATACACTGTTTTACCCTTTCAGTGTCTTTTATTTCCCTCCATGCATTGTTACAAGTAACCCAAAATACATACTGACTGTAAAAACAACAAAAAACCCCAAACAGGTGTTTATTTCTTTGGGGGAGATTAACAAGGAGTCTTTCTGCTTTTAGTGATGAAAGAAGAAACTGTTGGCTTCATAAATTTATTTATATGCCTTAATTTAATCAGGGAAAAGTTCTGTATTAAAATGCATGAAGAGCAAGAACCTGTTCTAGACATTCTTTATCACAGACTTGTCAGCCAGAAGCTTAAATTTACCTTAAGGGAGCTCAAAAAGAGCTATGGTGACTTGTCCAATAACATCCTTTAACTTCTTTTATCTTATTTTAAAATATTATATAGACTACTTTTATATATGCATGTGTACATATATATATTTAGCTTTTCTAGAAAATTATGCATAAGGCGGTGTTAGGTACACAGATGCAATTTTGTTGGCAATTCCCTCTAAATGTTCACATCAGATTTCTTCAGAGATGAATGAACTAAGAATCTCAGTTTGCAAAACAGCATCTTAACTATGCTTATTCTTTTCTTTTTTTTTTCCTTAAAAGAGAACTTTACAAATTATAGAGAATAATGGAAGTTGACAGAACTGATGTCTCACGCCTAAAAGGTTTTAGCAACATTACTAGACTTTATCCAAAGTAAAATAAAAAGTTGCAATCTCAACTCTCAAGTAAGCCACATACCTTTTGTCCACTATCACAATGGATATAGATTAGGCCACTCCAAGGAATTAATGAAGGCTTTGTGGCAAGTGATGGATTAGGACTCACCAGAATTAGTGTACTGCTCCTAATAAAAGAAAAAAAATATTAGCATGATCCTCAGATTAGAATGAGTATCTACAACAGATCTCACTAGCCATCCCCACCCCCCAAAAGGATGCACTGTTAAGATAGTAAGTAATTGAAGATGATCTAGAAAGAGTTAAATTTAAGGTATTCAGATCTCCAATATATTATCAAGCTTTAGTAGTTAGAAACTTAACACTAACACACTTTATAAACTTATTCATATAAGTATATATAAAGGGTACAAGGGGTCATAGGGAA